TTAATCAAGGTGAGAAAGAATTTCCTCTGGAGATTTGTCTTCTGAATGAGGAATACCAACGCTCCAATTGTTTAAATTGGTATACAAATATATTCACCACTTTTGCTTATACAAACTAAAGTGTTTAATTCTCTTACACACTAACATATCTCAAAGGTGAACTGAGAAGAATAAAAGAGGGAAACTTCAGTCCATGCAACACAGAAGCCTTTATGAAAGGAGACAAATTGTAATGTTTGTATTATGCTTATTCTTTTTAAAATTCCATTTTGTCATTCAACATTCATTTTATCATTCAACATTTGCAGTATCCCATTTTCCTACACTTTTTAATGTCAACCAATTGTGGATTTCCAAAAGCATCCACTGAATATAATTGTATTTCTCAAAAAATATTTACTATTTCACAGAAACCGGATGGCATGTTTTGGCCATTAAGATTTAAAGAAATAATTTTAAATATTTTCAGGAAACTTATAATTTTAAATACTTAGGAGCTATTTGTACTATAAAGTCAACGGCATATAAATTCATATTTATACTATTACATTATTATACAGGTTTTTCTATCCTGGCAACTATATGACACACTGAACAGTTTCATCATGCCTAACTAATGATCATATTTATTGGAGAGCTCCACATTATATTGAAGAAATATAAATTTCATGCACAACTATAGTACAGAATTGTCAGAACTTGCTTACTTAGGGCCTCATTTTCACAAATTTTAAAAACAGGTTACTCCTGTTCAGTAGACTTTCTTTAAAGATGGATATAGCCATGGAATTAATTACCCATCATTGTCAAAAGGCTATTTTCATAATTTTAAAAAATCATATTAGCCTTTTGAAACTCATTTATGCATCTACATGCGTGCAATGGGAATAGAAACTGCTACAAATTCTGCAGCACTCGCTGCATCCTATTCAAATTAGTAGCATGAAAACAATCATATGAATTAATGGTTTACCAGATTATTCTGTCATGAAAGCCTTTACCAGCATGGTAGCTGCTAAGATGTATTTTGAAGCAAGTGTCCTATGTTATTTACAGAAATTGAGAATATTCCTTTTAACCATTCAAGCAATTACAAATAAGTAGAACCACTAAACGAACAAAGGGAAATCTAAACATGTCTTTTAGACACTTCATTACATTGTCAATTCCATGCTCACTCACACCATAACAGTTATAGTACAGTGTTATTAAAGTCTTTATTAACAGGTACCTTAGATTATTGAAACAATTGAACTGAACACAAAAACCAAGGTAAAATGGGTGTTGGTAGAAGTTACCCTGAACGCCCTTTCTATCTATGCTGCGAGAGAGCCCAGGATGGGTTGACTCCTTCCTATGACGTCATTTAGCTGAGTCTGTACTAAGATATAAAAGCCAGACCCCGGAATAGACCCCAGCTTTGGCGAAGATACTTGACTGAAAGGTGTCTCTGAAAGCACAAATGAATACGGAAATATGACTTACCCTCTCCGGACGAATCAAGGGAGGGGCTGGGCTCTCTTGCAGCATAGATAGAAAGGGCGTTCAGGGTAACTTCTACCAACGCCCATTCTCCTCCATGCTGCATCGAGAGCCCAGCGTGGGACATACCAAAGCTTGCATGTCCACGGGTGGGTCCTCGTCCGGCTCATCACACCGACTGTTGAACCACTCGTTGAAGCACCCGTCTGCCGAAGGCTGCAGTTGTCGAGGCAAGGACATCCAGACGGTAGTATCTGATGAAAGGAGACAG